CTCCGAGCGAGAGAACAAGAGGAAAACAGAGGCACAGACGTGAGGGCCAAAGGAAAAGAAGGTGTTGGCTGAGGAGGTCTCCAGAGGGCTGGAGGAGCAGAGGGAGGGGGTGACAGCCCAAAAGTCTGGCAGAGGAGAGGACGCACAGGGAGGGACAGTGCGGGCAAACCGTGGGCACACAGGAGGTGCTCAGCACATGCCTGTGTCCTTCCCCAGAAGAGGACCCAGAGGATGGAGGCACAACCTGCCAGAGCAAGAGGGCAGAGACAAAGAGGCAACAGGAGATGAGGTGGGATGTTAATTGCCTAGCATACAGTAGATGCTCCATAATTGCTTGTTTTCTTCCCTGAGAAAGAGCAGATGGAACAGAAAGGACAAATCAGGGATGAGGGGATAGAGAGAAGCAAAGCGGGGTGGGCAAGAACTGACACACAATAAGCGCTCAATAAATGCTCCTTTCCTTCCCTGGCAGAGAGCGGAAGGAAGCAGAGGCCAGCAGCGACCATAGGGCAGTGCAGACTGGGGACAAGAGCCGAGAAAGGACAGGATCGCTTGGCATACCAGAGGTGCTCAATGTGTTCCTTGCCTTGGAAGAGGGCAGAGAGCCCAGAGAGACAAGGAGAGGACAGAGGGACAGGGGAGGAATAGGGTGTGAGAGAGGACAGAAGGTAGGGAAAGTGCCTGGAACACAGTAGGTGCTCAAAATATGTCCGTTCCCTCCTCTAGGAGACAGCAGGTGGTCAGAAAGGAGAGGAAACCAGTCGGGGGGGAAAGAGAAGAAATTGTGGGGGGGAGTGTAGTCAGACAGGAAACAGTGTCTGTAAATTCACTGGCACACAGCAGGTGCTCAATAGATGTCTATTTCCTTCCCAAGAGAGACTAGGCAAATCAGAAACAGAAAGGAATCAGGGTGGAACGGACAGGAAAACAAAAAGGGTAGAAGGCACAGAGACAGTGTATGGAAATTGCCTGCCAAACATTAGGTACTTAATAAATGCCCATTTCCTCCACGGAAGGAGCTGGAAGCACAGGAAGAACCAGCAGAGGGCACAGAGGAAGGGGCAGGTGAGGCGGAAGGGTGTGAACAGAGGTGAAGAGAGACATTTCAGGTGCATACAGCAAGTGCTCCATAAATGCCTGTCCCCTTCCTCTGGCAGAGCAGAAAGCAGGCTGGGAGCAGGCAAAGACCCGGGCAGGGAGGCCTGGGGGGGAGTCTGGGGTGGGGACTTCGGGCCAGGCCTCCGGTGCCCCTCCCCCATGGCCTGTCCACTAATCACCCCCAGCTGCCCCTGGATGGTGACAAGGGTTCCTTGTCCTGGGCCTGGCATGGCCTGGCCTGGCCCTTGTCCCCTGTCAGGGGTGGGGGTGAGCGGCGCTGCCCGGGCTCTCTGAGTCTCTCACTGTCTGTGTCTCTGTGACCTGCTATCTCTCCTGTCTCCGTGTTTGTGGCCCCACCTCGTCTCTGTCCCCCTCAGTCTCCCTTTCTTGAGTCCTCTCTCTCTCTGTCCCTGTCCCTGGTTCTTGCTCTGCACCCATCTCTCTGTCTCTCCTGCGTCTCTTGTCTCTCGGCCTGTCTCTTGCTGAGACTGGGAGGGAGGCCCCTACCCACCCCCGGGGTCCTGCCCCTCTGGACCCAGGACGGGCTGGGGGCGCCCAGCTGAGAGGCAGAGGAGTGAGGAAGGAAAGGAGGCTCAGGAGGGAGAGGTGAGAGCAGAAGCAGCTTTATTCAGCGCGGCGGGCACAGGCCGGCAGGGCTTCGTCCGCACTGGGGAGAGAGGGGGAGTCGAGAGACAGACAGAGACAGAGAGGGAGACACAGCAGAGACAGGAAGGAGAAAGCCGGGGAGACACGGGGGAGGAAGGGCAGAGAGAGTCTGAGAGGGACCCAGAGACTGGGAGGCAATTGCAGGGGGGAGACAGAGACACAGAGAAGGAGAGGGCCAGAGAGATGACAGAGACAGAGAGACAGGGACAGAGAGAGTCAGGGAGAGACAAAGAGACAGACACAGAGAGAGAGGAACAGAGAGCTGATGGGGGACAGACACAAGGAAGGACAGAGACTCAGAAATAGGGGGTTTCCTTCTGGGTCTGTCCTCCCACCCCTGTCCTTTGCCACCCCCGCCCCCACTAGACAGAAAGAAGGGGAGAGATGGAGAGAGCACAGGGGAGAGAGACAGAGGGAGGAGGGAGAGGGAAGAGCCCGATACGGAGGTGCAGCCACAGCCGTTGCGGGACGTCGAGGAAGGAGCGGCCCCTCTCACCTGGCATCGGCGGGCAGCCGCCCCCTGGGCCCAACCGCACAATTTAAGGGGCGCCCTGGGGGCGGGACTGTTCCCCTCATTGCCTTATCTGGCCAGACCCGGGCTTTGTGAGCTAAATCGGGCCTCAGCTGTCAGCACCGGGGATGGGGGTGTGTGGGGACAGCTGTCACCCCCCACCTGCCCAGCACCTGCCACGTGACCGCAGCCGTTCCCCTCCCCTCCTACAGCCTGGCTGTGCTGAGAGGCCCCTCGGGGTCTGTGTGGGGTGCCCCTAGCGGGCAGCTGGGGACCCCCAGGAGTCCCGCCAGCTCTGGGACGGGCCTGCCTGGGCACCCTAGGGCAAGGAGCCCCCCTGAGAGGTGGGGGCCGTAGGGGGGAGGAGGGCACTGAGGGTGCATGGGGTCTTGTGCACTAGAAAGGGTAAACAGTAAGTGCTCAATCCGTGCCCCCCCCCGCCCGTGCTCCTCACCCAGACCTTATTTGGCCACAGCTGAGGACGCACCTGGGGAGGCCGCAGCCCCGCCTGCCACTCAGGCCGAGAATGGAAACACTCAGGGAGACCCGCCAGGCTGTCTGGGACAATGGGACAGGCGACAGGCACAGGGCGGGAGGGGAGAGACAGAGAGAGATACGGGGAAGAGACAGAGTTGAGGAGAGACGCTTAGAGAGATAAAAGGGGCTGGAGAGTCAGACAGAGACAGTGGGAGACAGAGAGACAGGAAGGCCGAGATAGGGACCCAGCAAGAGAGTGAGATGGGGACAGGAGTGAGGACAGAGGGCGGGACAGACCGCGGAGAGGCCCAGAGGGAGGACGCCGGGCGGGAAGGAGGCGCAGGGGCCTGGGTAGGGCTGGGGGGGGGCGCCCTGAGAGTCGGGGTGTCCGCACACCCCAGCAGTTTTCCCCTCCTGTGCTGTTTGGCTTTTCATTTTACAACCTGCCCTTTGACCTCGGGGAAAACTCGCAACCAGAACGTTCCACACCCCAGTCCCTACATCACCAGGGCTTTTACAAGAGCGTCCTGTCCTGTGGTGGCATCTGCTGCCCGCCCTGCTTCGGGTGCCAGGGTGTCACTCCTGTGGTCCTGGGGCGAACTCTCTGCCGGAGCGGATCCCAGCCCAGGGCTGCGTCCCCAAGCCAGGACCTTCCTGCCCTTCCCTGCCCTGGCTTCCTGTCCCTGAGTCCCCCACTTCTGCCCCACACCTAACGGGGGTCCCCAGGTTCCGCCAGACCCTGGGCACCCTCTTCACTCCCTCCCCTCCCTCCCCGCCAGGGCCCACCAGGCTCAGACCTTCCTCCCAACTCTCTGTCACTTGCCTCCCTCAGGGTTCTGCCTCAAGTTTCCTCCTCTCCCCTCTGGACTGTCCTCCCAGCCTCCTCTGGTCTCCCCCAAGTCTGTCCCCACAGCCCCAGAGGGGTCTTTCTGCACCCTGAGCTGGCCTGCCCTCGGGGGTCCTGCCTGGGTTGGTTCCGGCCAGGACCCGCCCTCACGTCCCCTCACCTCTGCGAGTAACTACGGAGAACGTTCCAGGCCTCACACAGGGTGATTTCCAGTCCTGGAAAGCGCCGCCCACCCGCCAGCCTTCGGGACAGCGCTCCTCAGCCTTCCACGGCCAGTCTTGTCTCTGGGCCATTTTATGTGACCTGCCTGCCTCTGGGCCTGCAGTGCCTCGTGGGACCCTGGGGTCCCTGGGATTCTTGCCATCCTCTTTTGCCTCTCCCCGGCTTGGGGGCCGGGAGGGTGGGCCCACGGCTCCAGCCCGGGGCATCCCTCAGCACCAGCCAGGCCCAGAGGAGGGACTTGGATGGGGCGGGGGACCAGGGACATAGAGCAGGAGGCCCAAGGGCGAGAACGTGGAGTGAAGACATTTAGTTAAAGGCCCAGCCAGAGTCAAAGCCAAGTCCTCACTGTGGCCCGCGGCCCAGAGCTAGCAGCCCCCCCCCCATGCCCTCCCTCCTGCCCTTGCCCGCTGCTCCCGGGCGCGGCCACACCAGCCTCTGGAGCACGCCGGTGCCGCCCGCCTCCCCTGCAGGGCCGTGCTACGCCTGCTTCTTCCCCGTGGCCCCCTCGCCTTCAGTTTCAATCTCGCTCAAAGGACACCTTCTCGGGGGGCCGGCACCCCAAGTCATTTGCAACAGCACTGTGTTCATCCCCGATGGCTGCTGTAATTATTACCGCAAACTCCGTGGGTTCAACCCACATTTATTCTCTAAGTCCACGATGGGCTCGCGGGCTGCCTCTGCCTTCCAACTTAAGGACCCTCGTGAGGACACTGGGCCCCCGGGGGTCCAGGACAGCTGCCTGTCTCGGGGTCAGCTGACTGGCAGCCTCAGTTCAACCTGCAACTTCACTTCCCCGTGGCCGAGTGACCTAACGCGTTCGCAGCGCCAGGGATCAGGACACGGGCATCTCTGGGGCCACCGCTCTGCCACCTACCAGTCAATGGAGAAGAACAGAGTCAAGAAATAAGCCCCTGCCACCAGCTTAGCACTCGTCCTGCCGACGCACCAGGTCATGCCAGGTGGTTTGTCCCGGTCTCTCTCCTGCTGCAGCACAGGGGCCTCACGTGGGCAGGGACTTGCGCTGTTTTCTCCTGTGCCCAGATGAGGAAACTGAGGCCCAGAGAGGTGGGTGACTGGCCGGAGGCGGCAGGGAGCTGGGATCGGTGCCGGGGCGGGCTGGCTCCCGGGTTCTGGGAGGACCCCGTTGAGGGCTGGGTCAGTCACTCCAGGCCGGGCCCGAGCAAATCAGATTTATTGAGGCAGCAGTGGCACTGGGGGGCGGGGGCGTGGGAGGGGCCGGGGCCCCCTCTGGGTCCATGAAACGCAGCCCCCTTCCCTGCACTCGGAGCCGACATGGTCGCGCAGGGACTGCACTGGGCAGTGGCGACCGTCAGCCGTGGGGTCAGTCTGTCCGCAGCCAGCAGCCCTTCTCCTCCACCTCCTTGGTTACCACCAGCAGCACCTCACACAGGCCCTGGGCCAGCGCAGCCGCCAGGAAGGCCCTGGGCAGGAGAGATGGGGAGACTGAGGCCCAGCCAGCCTTGCTGCTCCCTTCTGGGCAGTGGAGCTCCTGCGAGCCACGGCCTCGGAGCAGCCTCTGCCTGGCTCACCTGACGCCGTCCTCGTCCCCCAGGGCCTCGGGCGCCCGCAGCTTGGAGTCCAGGTTGTAGTAGACGCCGTCCACCTGGCGCAGAGCCACCCAGTGCCGCCGGCGCAGTGGCAGGGACAGCAGCCCCAGAGACACGGGGGAGGGCAGGTTCAGGATCAGCCCCAGCACCTGGGGCAGGGCCAGCTGGGACAGGGGCCTGTGGCGGGGAGGGGGGGTGAGGGTCGGGCCACGGTCAGGGACTGCTCCGCCCGGAGTGTTCCCGAGCATGCGGTGGCCAGGCTGAGCCCCTCCAAGGACGCTCCTCGGCCAGCCCCACCCCGCTTCCCTGCGCTTCGTTCACCCACGCGACCCCGTCACCCTGCACCAGCCGCCACCCACCATCAGCCTGTCTATCCAGCCCCTGCCCAACGCCTCAACTGCTCTTCGTCCAGCCATGGCCCCCCATCACCCAGCCAGCCCCCCAACTCCCCGCACCACCTACGATTCACAGCTCACACTGACCATCCCTTGCACACCACCCACCCTCCCAGCGCCCCCACCAGCCACCTCACAACCACCGTCAGCCCCTGTCCACTGACTGTTCACCCAAACACCACCCACCCCCTCACACCCCCCCCCCAGCGCGGCCAACTGCCCACTGGCCGTCCGCTCGTTCGCCCGGCTACCAACCTCCACCCATCGGTGCACCCCATCCCACCTGGCCACCTGCTCACCCACCTACTGGCCACCAGGCTGCCAGCCTCCACCCACCCATGGAGACCTCCCCCTGTTCCCATGCTGCCCGTTACCCTGCATCCCCCGTGCCCAGCCCAGCATGTGACGCGGCACTCTGGAGCCTACCTCCTCCTGTCCCACCACACGGCCGCCAGGCCCAGCCCCTGCAGGGCGGCCATGATCACATTGACGTCATAGTTGCCGGTGCCCAGGAGGCTGCGATGGGGGTTCAGCCGGGAGTCTGGAGCCAACCTGGTGGGGGGATGGCCGGAGCCTGAGCTGGGGACACTTGGAAAGGCCCTGCCCTTCCCACACAGCAGGGGGTACCAGGGTCCACCAGTTACCCCAGGCTTTGAGTCTTCCCTCTTCAACCCATAACTCATCAGCCCCAAGTCCTGTCGCTCCTGCTGACTCACCCTGTCCCCAAGGCCCCAGCTCAGGCTTTGTCCTCTTGCACCTGGACCCTCCCCCATCCTCCAACCTTGCCCTCCAGCCCATCCCCGGACCTGGGCCTGGAGCTGCCCCCTCAACTCTGCCATGGCTCCCCAGTGCCCTTGGACAAAATCCCTGTCCCTCGGTCTTTCTCGTCATGCCCAATCCCTTCCTCTGTCCTTCAAGACCCACCTAGATGTAATTTCCTCTGGGAGGAGTCTCCTGAGCTCCAGGATGGGTCTGGGGCCCTCCCTGGCTCCCCCGTGCACTGAGCCACTTCAATGATGACCAACCCTGTTTTAACACCAGGCGCTTCCCCTGTCCCTCCCTGGCACCCCATCACCCCCAGGACAAAGTCCCAAGAGGCCCTGCTGGCCTCTGAGCCTCAGCCCCTCCCTTTCTGGCCACTTGTCCCTGGCCACATCCCCTGTGCCTCCCAGCCTTCCCTCCAGCTCTTCCCCGAGCCCAGGAGGCCTGCCTGTCACCACTTGCCTCTCTGGGCCCTCCCTCCTCTGAGCAACTGTAGCTCTGTCCCCACCTGGGCCTTTGGCAGGCAGGGCAGGGGGAGGGAAGAGCGTGTGTTATTTTTCTATGTGTCTGTTTCCCTCGCCTCCCCCAGGACAGGACTCGTATCTGACTGTCTCTGGGTCTCCAGCACAGCCCTGGCGTGAGAGTTGCCAGATCCTTGTTGTGAGTGACAGAGATGAATAAATCCCATAATGATCACTCTGAGGGGCTGGCCTCTGTCTGAGGAGGCCCCAGGAGGCTGGGAGCTGGGGGAGGGAGATAGGGTCATGTCTGGGTGTGGGAAGATCCCTCAAGGGTCACTGACTGGAGGCTGTGGAGGAGGCTGGGTGGGGGGTCCAGGCGGGGGAGGATTGGGCCTGGGCTGGGGCCAGAGAAGAGGGAGTGAGGCAGAGAGATTATAAAAAGAGATATTTGAAATCTGGAATAGTGAGGAGGCATATTCCAGGCTGCCAAGAGGAGCACACCATGCCAGACAAAAGAAAAGCCCGTGCAAAGGCCCAGAGGCCTCACAGTAGGGCTCATCCGGGGACTGGAGAGGTCTGGTGTGAGCAGAGCAGTGAGAGCTGCAGAGGCAGCGGGAGCCAAGCTTGCAGGGCCATGATATCAGGTGGAGAGGCTGGGGACGGAACAGGGTTGGCTCTTGGGCCCTGTGCAGGATGTTCTGGAGGGAAAACACCAGCAGCTGGAAGGCTGTGATAAGGTCCAGATAAGAGAGGGAGGCCTTGGCTGGGGCTGAGGCCCAAGATAGGCAGACGGAGGGGGCAACATCTCAGTCTGAGCCCCAGGGTCTGGCTCAGGCAGTGAGTAGGCACAAGAAACCCCAGGCTCTGCCCCTGACTCGCTGTGAGACCCAGGTGGGTTGCTCTGCCTCTTGGAGCCCTGCTGCTCCAGGGGTTAAGGTGGTTGACAGGAACCTCTTGCAGATCTCATCGGCAGCCTCCTGGCTAAAGAGCTGCTGCTGCAGAACGTTGTTGAGGGCGTGGACGGCACACAGCTCCAGGCGCTGCCGTTCGTGGTACACAGAGGGCTGGCTCGGCTGTGCTCCTGGGGCCTGGGACATGCCGTCCTTGGCTCCTGCTGGGGGTTGGGAGGGGAAGAAGGTACTTAGGGGGCAGGATCTTGAGGCCCAACCTCCCAGCAGGCCCCTTGGGGCAATGCCATTGAGGTGGGGACTTGGAGAAGTCTAGGAGGACATTGGGCCCCTGATCCTATTTCCTGTACTGTCTCCTGGCAACAGAGGTACCGCCATTCCCTATTCCTAGGTAAAACGCTCTCTCTTCTGCTCACCTAGCAACAGAAAACCACATCCTCCACATCTCTAAGTAAAAGGGTCCCTATCATGGTCGCCTAGAAACAGAGGAACCCTCCTCCCCTGTCCCTAGGTAACAGGATCCCTCTCTGGTTACTGAGCAACAGAGGACCCCAAGCCACTAGGTAACAAAGTCACTCTTCTGATTACCTAGCAAAAGGAATCTTCCTCCTCTGTCTCTAGGTAACAGGGTCTTTTCTGGTCTCCTAGCAACAGAAGACTCCCCTTCTCCTGCCATTAAACAGCAAGGTTCTCTCCTCTTGTCACCTGGCAACAGGGCCCCCTCCCCAGTCACTAGGCAACAGGATCCCCTCTTCCTATCACCTGGCAACTAGGCCCCCTCCCCCGACACCAAGTAACAGAGCCCTTTCCCCGACCCGTACCCCAACCACGGCGCTCGCCCTTTGCCAGGCAATGTCCCTCACCCCGCCTGCCTCTCTGCTCCCCCGAGCCAGGGGCTCCCGCATCCCCCTGGGCGGCGGCTCTGTCTCCGAGTGCGGGGCGGGCAGCACCGCGCTGACTGGGCAGGCGGGACGGACTACAGCTCCCGGCGGTCCCCGCGTGCCGGACTACGACTCCCGGGGACCCCCGCGGGACGCTGGTCCCACACGGAACAAGCAGGCCTCGTGGCCCGGAAGTCCGCTGTCGCCCATGGAAAACGTAGGACTACAACATCCGTCGGGCCCCGCTGCAAAGTCAGGAAATACGTCCCAGAGACCCGCCCCCTCGCGTACTGCACGCCCACTGCTGCTGAGAGGATTCTGGGAAATGTAGTGGATAGGCTCTCGCGATAGCTTCCAGCCGCTTGGTTCTCGTGTGTGTTCGCTCCCTGTGATGGCGTCATGCACTGTGTGCGGACTCGGCGTGACGTCACAGGAGGGAAACAAGGGACCAGAGATGCCAGGCCATGCAGGGCGAAGAATCTGTGATCTTTACTGAGACAGGAGGGAGATCCCGGGAAAGTGAGGCCAGGGCAGGAGTGGGACTGTGGTGGTGGGAAGGTAAATCGGATGAGGACGTCGTCTCGGGCAGGAGGCTTCTCAGCAGAGATGGATCCCGGGCCTGGAGGGGAGCTGGCAGCAGCCTGCGAGGGAGAGACGGGGAAGGAAAGACTGAGACAGAGGGAGAGGGAGAGAGAGTGATGAGAGGAAGGGACAGGTCAAGGTGGGGGTGGAGGAAAACCCAGAGAGAGAGACAGAGACCCAGACAGATAAAGACATAGACCTGGGGGTGGACAGACAGACAGACACACATGCAGAGGTAGAGTCCCAGAGAGGGGGGAGCACAGAGTCAGATAGCGGGGACATGGGCAGAAATAGAGACATACACAATACAAAGATTCGAATTCGTGGAGTAAACAGGTTAAGGAAATTCAGGAATAAAGATCAACGAAGACAGAATCAGAACTGCAGAACCAGACAGAGCCCAAGATCCCAAGCTCTGCAGAGCACAAGAGCCCAGGGTTGGGGGAGAGGGGCCATTAGCACTGGGGAGGGGCCTGGCCGCACTCAGGAGGCTGCGCCAGAAGGCCGTGACAGTGGCGGACCCTGTGACAGCGCCTGGCTCGGCAGGGTTCTCTCTGTGGGTGTGCACAGCAAAGCTTCGGCCTGTGGGGCCTGGGGGTCCTCTCAGCTCCACATCCACCACGTGCATGTCTGTGAGGCTGGGGCAAGCAGGGGCGGTCAGTCTGGTTAGCCTGGACCCAGCCCACCCCCTGCTCAGCTCTGCTCACCTGAGATCGGCCACAAGCACCCCAATCACGCGGTCGAAGCCTAGGCTGGGGGCAGCCAGGGCAGCGGCTGCCATGGTGTTGGAGTTCCGGGGGGCAAAGGGACAGAGCCCACGGACAGGGCCTTCATAGAGCACAGTGCGAGGCCCGGTGCTGTGGGCTGCAGCCAGGGGTCCCTCCAGCCGGAAGCCATCGGGGTGTGTGGCCATGGTGACACGAAGGCTCTAGAAGCAAGAGCCAGGGTCAGGGGCAACGGGGTCTTTGCAGGATCCCTCCGGTTCCTGGGGAGCCCAGCAGGCCCTCACCTGGAGGCCCCCGGCTGCGTCCAACCTGGCGATGTCCTCAGTGCCCCACAGGGCCCCTCGGGCCACAAACACGGCGTGGTCCCAGTGGTGCGAGGCCTCCAGGAGCTGCTGCTCTGTGGTCTGGTCTGCTAGGGCTGAGGGGGACCCCACCTGGGGTGGACAAAGGTGGAGAGGGATCACCACTTTAGGGTGGGCAATGGGGTCGTGACAGAAGGCGTAGGGGCCTGTGTTATTTTGGGTGGGGCTTACCAGGAGATTGGCATGGTGCAGGATTTGTGCCCCAAATTCATGGATTATTTTGGGATGGGCCACTTCCACCACAAGATCAGGGTGCCTGGGAGAGGGGAAAGATGGGGGAGGGCCTTGGACAGGTATTAGCCCTCCCCTCCCCAAGGTTCTCTCAGAGTCTGTGGAGGGCTGTCAGTCTTCACCCTGGCCTGGGAGGGGAAGTGAGGTGAATGGGCTTCTCCCATTTCACATTTGTGTGAACTAAGGCCCAGAGAGGGTAAGGGACTTGCCCGAGATCACACAGCAGCTAAGGGAGCCTCATTCTCCTATGGCAAGGTACTGACCTTTCTCCAAGGGCAGCAAGGTTGTGGAGCTGTAGGGAGGGGGGCACGCTCCCTGCCATTCGTCCTGGGTCCCGATTCCAGACAAAAACAAGTTCTAGGCCCAGTTTCGGTCCCTGAGCTACCAGGTGCGAGACGAGGGACTGTCCTGGGGAGAGGGGAGGAGGCTAGAGACCCAGAGAGAGGGGGACAGAGCCCCGGGGTGGGGGTGGAAGACAGTCCGGTAGACAGATCCAGAGACACAGCCAAGGGCACAGAAAAACACAGATGAAAGGAGTGTGTGTGGAGGGCAGAGGGGTTTGGGGGGCTTTAGGACGGGGCCTGGGGAAGGAGGCCCAAGATGGCCAGGGACTCACCAAGGCGGCCGTAGCCTACCACCCCCACCCTTCGTGGGACCCTTTCGAGGGCCATGCCCCTGAGTCTGGTTGGTGGCTGTGGCCCGAGCTCCTTTGGCTGCTCGATGTCCCCTGCACGAGGCCTGGGCAGTCACTGCTCTTTGGACATTTGACCCTTGAGCTCAACCTCCCCCTTCCCCCAGCAGCCCAGAGGTGGGGGGGTGGGTTTGCAGAGATGGAGGCGGGTGAAAATCCTTCTCTGCATTCTCTCCACTTTCGCCAGGGCTGGGGGCAGCGAGCATGGTGATTTGGGGTTCCAGGGACCCTTCATCCCCCCAACCCCTGCTTTCCCGAGGGCTGTTCCTTTCTCTGCGACATACCCTGCTCCATTCCTGCTGATGTGGAAAATTTCCTCTGCAGTCCCCTGCCCCCCTTTCTGGCCGGCCAGGTTGTCATGGAAACTACATCCTGCTTGGGGTGGGAAGAGGAGATGGTGACGGGGACTCTGGGCTCTGTCCCCTTGCTCCCAGGTCCTCCCGCCCATTTTTATCCTCAAGTGGCCAAGGTCTGAAGGAGGTTTCTGCCTGGTCATGCCCCCTTCTCTCTCAGAAGGCAACAGACGCTTGAGTTCAGCTTATCTTAGCTGTGTCCTTGCCTCAGTGGGTCCAGTCTCCCCGGGCCACATAGAGGGGGTCCCCTTCTCACATCCCTCAGCCTTCAACCAGAACCTGCCACCCTCCGACTCTGAACCTTCAGTTCACCTTGACTTCCCACCGCTCCTCCCCCCAGCCACAATGCCACTAGTCCCCCTCCCCCATGTCCTGTTCTCGCTCCCGTGTCCTTTCTTCCCTCTCCCCAACGTGCATCAGCCAAAGAGTAGCTGCGAGGCCTGGGGAGTCCGAGTGCCCCCAGAATGAGTCTCAGCCACTGCGCCTCGCGGGTGCCTGGCATCGGAAATGGCAGAGGCTGCTGCAGTGCCAGCTCCCTGCCCCCGGCCACCACCTGGTACCCGCTGCAGTGTTACCATGGCAACCAGGATCGGCACTGGAAGAGACCGGAGAGAAAGAGCATGAGAAGGGAGCATGGGGGTGGGGGGCGGCACCGGGCGAGATGGGATGGACCGAGATTGAGGGCCAGACCCCAGACACGTTGGCCAGAGGCCACCGGAGGCTGCCACTGCTGATAAGGGAGGAATTTGCTTCAAGAGCCAGGAGCCGGTGGGGGAGAGAGAAGACGCTGACAGGCACACGGACCCCTGTCAGCCACTCATGGGGCGGGAGCGGGGACTCGCTGCCTTCCCCCACCTTCTGGCTGTTGTCGACTCTTTTGGGGCCGGAGTGTCCCCACAGTGCCCAGAGCTGCGGTGTACTCGAGGGAGAAGGGGCACTAGGCCTGCCCTGCTCCGGTCGTGCCTGTGTGTCCTCGGGGCTGTCTGCCTGGGCTGCCCCCTCCTCGGTGCAGGAAGGCGCCATAACCACTCCCTCTGCTTCCATCACCCCGTGTCCCCAGACTGCACGAGATGGCAGCCCTGGCCCACGCCAGCCCTCTGGAGGCTGGAACTCAGGCACCTCGACCCCCAGAGACATCACACTGTCCAGCCTGCTTGCTGGCTCCTCACTGCTCCTCCCCAGGCTCTCTCTGTCCCTGTTCTCCTGGGTGGCACTGTGGCACCTCTCCTTCCAGGCCAGATCCCACCATCCCTCCTGCCCAAGCATTAAACAAACCGGAAGTGCAGCCCCACCCCCGCAGGCCCAGGCTGCTGCAGCTCCAGCCTCCTCCTCAGCCCACCCGCATCGGGCCTCCCCGGAGCAGCCTCGAGTGGGTTTGCAGTGGAGACAGACACTCTGGTGTGGGCCCTGTCGTGGGTTGAACTGTGCCACCCAGAAAGAGATTTCTAGAAGTCCTGGCCTCCAGCGCCTCAGAATGGGCATTTGCTGAGGACCCGGTCGAGGTTATGCCGGGTGGGGGAGTGCTGCCGGTCCCCAGGGTGACCAGGGTCCTTGCGAGAGGGGAAGTTGGACACGGGGGGACACACACAGGGAAGAGGCGTGAAGACACAGGGCGCGGGCCCTGGGAAGACTAGGGACAGGCTGCCACAAGCCAGGGCCGTCTGGGGCCACCAGCAGCTGGAAGTGGCAAGGAAGGGCCTCTGTCCAGGCTTCAGAGGGGCTGGGGCCTGCGGGTACCTTGACCTGGGACTTGCAGCCTCCAGAACCGGCAGACAGGATCTCTGGGGCTCTAAGTGCCCACCTGGCACCGGCGGCGGCCCCGCCCGAGGGAGCTAATACAGGGACTGACAACGGGGGTGTCCGCGTGCAGACCCCTCTCTGGGGTCTCCGGGGGGAAGGCTGAGGGCCTAGGACGGCCCGGAGGTGCCTGGGCCCCGATGGGGCCTGGGCGGCCTGGTTCCCGCCGCTCCTTCTGCTCCCACCCGCATTCACTTTGTTCTCTCTCCTCCATGCTTTCATGACCAAAAAAAATATTTTTTTACTTTTTCCGTGTTTTTTTTTAAAGTAATTACAGAGCAGGTAGTCGTTGACGCAAACCTCCCTTCAGTTGTATCAAAAGAGTCTGTGGGGCAGGCGGGGCGGGCGGTCAGGCTGCCCCCCAGCGGGAAGGGCCGGGAGCGCGGGCGACGTGTCTCTTCAGTTTCGGGGGGGCGGAGGAGTGGGGGGGAGGGACAGGCGTCAAACTGCAAAAAAATGAACCGTAAAAGGAGGGCGGTCGGGGTGAGGGGAAAGGGCACCCCTCAAAAAAGCTCCTCTCTGCCCTGGCAGGTGGCGGGCGGGACGGTTGGTCGGGAGGGCGAGAGGAAACCTGGGGGGCTCGGGCCACTTCCCCGAATCCCGCGTCCCCTCCCGCCACCAGGATAGGCGGGGCGAGGCTGGAACCGCGGAGACTCCACTCCTGCAGCCCCGCCCTGTCCTCGCGGGGTCTGAGCCCCGGTGGGGCCGGACGCCGCCTCTGCCCACCCTCCCCGTTTGGTCCCGGGGTGGGCTGGGCTGCGGGGAGGGGTCCCAGTCGGGCGTGCCCGGGTGGGCTCCGGGGTGGCGGGGCTCCGAGCCCCTCGCCGGCCCCCACCCCGCCCCCGCCGGCCTCAGATCTGCGTCTCTTGCACGTTCTCCTTGGAGCCGCTCTTGAAGAGCAGAGGTTCGTGGATGGAGTTGAGGCCGGGCGGGCCCTTGCCCCCGCAGCCCCCGCCGCTGGGGTTGCTGCTGTAGTGCGCCTTGAAGGCGGCTGCCACGTAGTGGTGGTGGTTGAGGTGGTCGCGCTCCAGGGCGGGCAGGGCTAGGTGGCTGTCCCCACCAACGCTGCTCCCACCGGCCACGGCAGCCGCGGCGGCCACGGACACGGCGGAGGCAGCGGGCAGCTCGTCCTCCACGTTGATGATCTCCACGGTGCGCGTGGGCCCGTGGTGCTTGTGGAGCTGGTGCTGCTTGCGCAGCTTGTAGAAGGCCACGAGCATCACGGCGGCCATGAACGTGATGGCCACGAAGCAGCCGATGATGATCTTGGTGGTCTTCATGACGTCGTCCAGGTCCTTGAGGGCGTTCTCCGTCACGTCCGTGATGGGCACCGTGAACGCCTTCTCCGTGGGCCGCGAGGAGCGTGGGGCAGGTGCCGTGGTGGAGGACGAGGCCGGGCCGGCAGCGTCCCCCGGCCGGCCCCCACCCCAGACACCGTCGGTTGTGGGCCCCGGTGGGACCTTCTCCGTCCCCCGAGGCTGCACGGCCTCCTCTCCAGGCTGTGTCTCCAGGGTCTCCACCGTCACCGTGGTGAAGTAGGTGTAGCCACCACTGCCCCCTCCGACACCACCGCTGCCCCCGGGGCTGCCCCCGCCGCCACCAGAGCCCCCAGCCGCCACGGGGTCCACGGCCGAGACGTTGAGCGTGGCTGAGGCCGTGGTGTTGCCAGCCGAGTTCGTCACCATGCACGTGTACTGGCCTGTGTCCTGCACGGTGACGTTGGTGAAGTTGAGCGTGCCATCATGCAGGACGGAGATGCGCACACGGTAGGAGCCGTGGGTCATGAGGGTGCCGTTGGGCGTCAGCCAGTTGACAGAGGTCATGGAGGTGCCCGTGCGGCACTTGAGCTCGGCAGCCATGCCCTCGGTGACATTGAGGTCTGTGGGCGGCTCCACAATGACAGGCGCGTAGCAGGTGAAGTGCGACTGGTCCAGTTCACCAATGTAGCGGCCCTTGAGGCCGGCGGGCGCGTGACAGCGGGCGCAGCACGTCGTGTTGCTGGGCACGGTCTCCTTGAGCCACCAGCTGAGCCAGAGCACGTCGCAGTTGCAGTGCCAGGGGTTGTGGTTGAGGTGGACGCGCTCCAGGCGGTGCAGGGGCGTGAAGAGGTCGTGGGGCAGCGACATCAGGTTATTGTGGGACAGATTGAGCTCCTCCAGCGACTTGAGGTCGTCGAAGGCGTTGCGCTCGATGGTGGCCACCTGGGCGTGCATGAGCCACAGCTTGCGCAGGCTGGTGAGGCCCTGGAAGGAGCCGGGGCGGATCAGGTCCAGCCGGTTGCCCGACAGCTCCAGCTCCTCCAGGCGCACCAGGGCCGTCAGGTTGGGGATGTCCTTGAGGTTGCACATGCCCAGGTTGAGGTAGCGCAGGTTGACCAGCCCCTCGAAGGCCGCCTCCGAGATGTATTCCAGCCGCTTGAGCTCGCCCAGGTCGAGGCGCCGCAGCGAGGGCACGCGGTTGAAGGCGTAGGAGGGGATGCTCTCGATGGGGTTGTTGCGCAGCCAGAGCTCCCGCAGCTTGGACAGGTACTCGAAGGCCTGCGTGGGCACCGTCGTCAGCCGGTTGTCGAACAGCTCCAGCGTGTTGAGGCTGGGCAGCCCGTTGAAGGCGCCCACCTCGATCTTGCGCACCAGGTTCTTGCTCAGCTGCAGGATCTCCAGGTGCCGCAGGTGCTTGAACGTGTCTGTGCGGATCACCTGGGGGCAGGGAGGGGAGACGGGGTCAGTGACGCTGACACTCACGACAGAAATCGCGAAGGCACCGCGTGCTGTGAGGGTGCAGGGCGACGGACCGCTCCTGCCTTGCAGGTGGGGGAATGAGACGGTGCCACCACTTAGGAAAACAGCGGGGCAGTTTCCTACAAAGTTAGGACTGGAGGTGCCGTACGACCCGCC